ACCCTGTACTGAATAAAGTATTTTTGTTTGTCTGTTGTAACTGTGTGTTAGCAAAATATCTGAACCAATTCATGATGGAGGCCAGTGACTGCAGAGAAGTGGTAGTAGCTGAGACTAATCCAGAAAACATACTTTAAGTGTAACACATCAGACAACAACTTTGCTTAGAACTTTGGCAAAATGTTGGAGTCAACCCAGTCTGTTAGCAAAATAACTCATGAACCAGCCGACAAATTTTAGTCAAACTCTCAGAAAGTAAACATTTGATATTCATCTACGACTGGCTCACTTTTAGAGTCAATGCCCCCAAAAAAAGATAGATATACAAAGATTTAGGTCAAGTTTGACGTGGTAGTAGCTGGGAGTTATCCACAAAACGTCAAGTTCAGACAGATCTCGCGAGATCTCGCGTGACGTCATTCACACAGTTTGACTAAAAACGGCTACAGATCTGACATTTCTCATCATGAGCAGATATTAGTTTATCAATATGCACTCTTTTAATGACTGCTGGGATTTTAATCCCATAAATATGATCGACTTTAAAGTTGATAACCTTATAAACAGAAACTGGTTCAAAACACTTTCACTTTTGTCTTCGCTCCAGTTTGCTTTTTTTTTTTATTTTTGACAAAGTTAATTTATATAATAGGATCATAACAAAGACTATAAGAAGATTCATGTAGCTGTTTATTGTGATCTCCCATTGAAAAAGAGACTTTTTTTTTTGTTTTGTTTTCTTGCAGGAATGTCAGGAAAACAGGTTCGATCTTGCAGAAACAGAAACAGACACGAGTTCCTCCTGTGTGTCTGCAGGCCGCTGTTTACCTTCAGCTGCACAAGTTCATTACCCTGTTCTGATCTGCAACAACAGCTCGAATTTAACACGCACAGACACACACAAACACACACAGAGAGTGAGAAACCCACGAGGGCCCCTGCGCCAAACACCTGTTGGTGATCTGTTACAGAACCATCAGAGTCCTGAACCGTCTCCAGAGTCAGATCCCTTCGCTGTAAAAGTTTTGAGGAAAGTGTTTCATTCCGCTCGTGGGCCTTTTTTTTTCTCCCCACTTGCAGCGCAGCGCGAGGACACGGCGGGCACAGAGCGCGCGCCACCTGACCGCGGGTGTCATTAAAAGCTCTCCGGCGG